ATGTCTCAAGTTTTTAAGAAATCATTGACCTTGGACATTACTGTCATAAGGTGCATACTGTACATACGTCCTTGACACTTGATGAAAAAAGGATTTAGCTAATATTAAAACTTTGTATATCACATTCAACGTGTTTTCACTCTGCAATGGTATCGGTTGCACTGCTGAGCTTGATTTTGAGCAAGTTTTTTAAAACGGGGGAGGCCGTCTCTTTCGTCTTTTCCTCAATTTGTCTTAAACACACATCATCCTCTTTTTTATAAAGGAGGAGGTGTAAAACACAGTAACCCTGTTTATTTATTGAAAAAAAGCCTTTAATAATGTACAGTAGCATTGTACCACATGGTGGAATGTGTGAACACAATCACAGTCTCTGTGCTGAGGTAGTATTATTACAATGCCTTTGCTGTCATACGGGCTCTTAATGCGGAGAGAGTGGATGGGCTGGTGCTTTATTAGAGATTTTGGATGCGTCTCAGCAAGGACTGAACACATCTATCAGACACTATTTAACAGCACTGTGTCTGAATTGACCATTAGCGTTTCTTTTGAGAATGGAAGCTGGAGAGTTCTTAAAAGGGAAGAATAAGCAAAACTTGTGATCGAAGGAAGACAACGTGCTGTGAGCGCTGACACATGGGAGGGAACGTTAACCCCCCAGGTTTGCCAAACAGATGGCAACATGACGAAAGAGCAAGACCTTTTTTAGAATGCTTCAGACAGCTTCCTGTGGGGTAGCTCTTTTATTCATGATTGAAAATTAAACTCATAATGCACATAAATGGTTTCTCATAATTGAAGCTGATCTCTGCCCTGCGATGGACTGGCGTCCTGTCCAGGGTGTACCCTGCCTTGTGCCCGTTGCTTGCTGGGACAGGCTGCAGCTCTGTATTGGACGAAGTGGGTTGAAAATGGGTGGAAGCAGCTGTCCAGACTTTAAGGACTGCTATGAAGGATGAACACTACAGCTACATGTTTTCCTTTCACAGTATGTGATGAATCAGGATCCCTTATGACAGGTGAATGTTGGCTGCGGGCCTTGAGTGAAAACTAGACTTTCTGAGGGGCAGACAGCCAGCCCTGGGTCAGCAAGAGCTGGGAGCCAGTGAGCCATTGTTGACCAGCCTCATATTCCATTTGGCCTCATGACTGGCTTGTTTTCAATGAAGGGGACAGTGGGGCCACTGTCTTTTTAGAATCTAGTTATTTTGTGATTAGTTTCGCTAGGAACAAAGAGTTTTGCAATGCAATTTAGAGCAAAAATAATGTTAGAGAGAAAAATAAATGTACAGGAGTGCCAAATGCTTTGAGAGAGGTTCTGTCTCGCATGCATACATCCGACTTTCTGTGCTCCTTGGGTCCGGGGTGGGATAAATGGAGTCTTTGTGACGGACTGGTATCCTGCCCAGCGTGGGGTCCTGCCTTGTGGCCTGTGCTTCAGGTTCTGCCATCCCTTCCCAGGATGAGTGGCTCTCTGGCTGTTACGGCGAGTATGACAACCCCCCGTGCAGGTCTCTGATGGGGCCCGAGAAGGGCGAGGCAGGAGAGCAGTCGATCGGTCCAGGCGTAGTCGAGTCCAGAGAGGAGGGCTAGGCAACTAAACCAGAAGGGCGAGGCGAGAAGTTCGAGCTGGAAAGGGGTCCGAGAGGTGAGGTCCGAGAGCGCAAGATGGCGAAGGCTGTCAGTAACGAGAGCTCCGGAGGCGGAAAGATTTCTAATACCGCGCAGGGAACAGGGTGAGCGAGGGGTTAAGCAGTGAGGGAAGGGGTGTGGTCTGGTAACTGGGTAATGGGCATTAATTAGGGCCAGCTGGCCGGGGGGAGTTCTGGACTGGTGCGGTACCGGCCCGGAGTGTTGGCCCCACAGAGCAATGGTGTCGCCAGTGTGAATCGGACCACACGTTCACCAGAGCGCTGGTGCGCTTGTGCTGTAGTGTTGGTGCAGTCGTTTCTAGCCGTGTGTGTTTGTGTGTTTGTGTGTTTGTGTGTTTGTGTGTTTGTGTG